TAGTTCCATGTAATTTAAGATGAAGATTTAAAATTATGTTAGAAAAATTACAGTGCTAGACGCTTTTAGATAATATCATCAGTGCTTCCTGATAAATCTTTTTCCCCAGAAGTTGTTTCATGAATAGCTAAGATTCTCTTTGCATATTGAGATAAGAAAACTGAGGCTCAGTGAGACACGTAGTATGCTGGTGACGCTGGGCGCAGTGGCTGACGCCTGTAATCCCAGCACTCCCAGCACTTTAGAAGGTCAAGGTGGGCGGGTCACTAGGTCAGGAGTTGGAGACCAGCTGGGCCAACGTGGTGAAACCCCGCCTCTACTAAAAATACAGAAAATTAGCTGGGCGTAGTGGTGCATGCCTGTAATTCCAGCTACTCAGGAGGCTGAGGCAGGAGAATCACTTGGACCCGGAAGGAGGAAGTTGCAGTGAGCCGAAACCGCGCCATTGCACTCCAGCCTGGGTGACAGAGCAAGACTCCATCTCAAAAAAAAAAAAAATATATCTGCTGGTGAGACTCAGGATGGTTGGTTTCTGGACTCCTACTCTATTGAAGTCTTGGTCAAGGATAGGTAGGTTGGCAAAGGGTAGCTGCACATCCTGCCTCTATTCCTAGTTTGTTGCTGATTTAAACACCGGGGTTTTTGGTTTCGTTTTGTCTGTCTGTTTGTTAAACTAGCCCCCAGATAAATCAATGCCAAAGTTATTGTCTTGGGAAATTGCTCATTAAGGACCCTGTCCCATATTTCTTAAAAATTTCAGTCTGAAATCGGAGTCTTTGGGAACGATGAACAAATGTATAATATCCTTGGCCAGCCTAATATTTCTTTCTCAGTTCTTTGTGAATCTGGGCAAATAACTAGAACAGTTCATGGTTTTATAAACTTCATTTTTAAAAATGGTGTTAATAGGTTATATTCTGTATTGGGATTTGGAAGTAATTATAAATTGATTAATGAGATGTTCTTTCTTGATTGCTCTTCTCTTAAAAATAAAGTCTGTTTAGTAGACTCTTCCTACTTGACCTCGAGTCCCCTTGGAAGGGAGTTATCTATGCTTTTGCTATTCTCTGTTGTGACACCTGGCAGAGTGGATAGTTTGTAAATGTTGGCAAGTGATGCAAATGGGTCTTTCTTCAGATTATCCAAGGAATTGACCTTTTCTGGAATCTTACAGATTTTGTTGTTTGTTGTTTGAACTTTTTTCCTAATATATAACATATATATGGGAAAGTGCCCAAATCGTAATTATACAACTCAGGCTGAGTGCAATGGCTCCTGCCTATAATTCCAGCATTTTGGGAGGCCGAGGCTGGAGGATCACTTGAGTCCAGGAGTTTGAGACTAGTTTGGGCAACAAAATGGGACCTCATTTCTACGAAAGAATTTTTTTAAAATTAGCTGGGCGTGGTCACACGCTCCTGTGGTCTGAGCTACTCAGGATGTTCAGATGGGAAGATCACTTGAGCCCAGAAGATTGAGAGTGCAGTGAGCTGTGATCGTACCACTGTACTCCAGCCTGTACGCCCAGCCCTGTGTACAGTGAGGCCCTGACTCAAAAAATAAAAAATTTTTTAAACGTGTACAACTCAATGAATTATCACAAATGGAACACACCTAGCTGAGAAAGCGGAACATTACCAGCACCCCCGTAGTCCTCCTTGTGGTCCTTTCTGGTCACCACCCACTACCAACAAGAGAAACCACTGTCTCGACTTCCAGTATCATAAATTA